GGAATCATGGTGTGCTAGTAAGACTGTAAGTTCTTCATCAGTATTTCCACTTGATTCTGCCATGTTGACATGCTCACCATTTTTATGTGAACATTCATTGGCATAATGTCCATATTGCTTACAGTTGTGACACTGGATATGCGCCTTTCCTCGAGTAGATCTCCACTCCTGAGACTGACCTTGATTTTGTGCATAGCCTCGACCTCTTCCTCGGGCTCGTCCTCGGCTACGGTTGGATGAGCTCCCACGACGTGAGTTCCACTGCCCACGACCTTTATTTGGTTTGTCAATATTCAACTTTGACTCCAAAGCTTGCTCTAGCGTTGTGGGGCTTGCATTCTTCTGAATGCGTTGCTCGTGAACTAGGAGGGATCCTAGTAGCTCTTCTGCGCTCATCACCTCCAAATCCTTGGATTCCTCAATGGCAGTCACCACATGCTCAAACTTAGATGTGAGTGACCGGAGTATCTTCTCCACAACTCGTACTTCATCGAGTCTCTCGCCATTTCTCCTCATCTGATTTACTATCACAATGAGCCTTGAGTGATAGTCGGAGATGCTCTCCCCTTCATTCATATGAGCAGTTTCAAAATCTGCTCGAAGTGATTGTAACCTCACTTTCTTGACTCGATCTACTCATTTGTAGATTGTACTGAGTGTATCCCATACTTGCTTGCTCGTTGTTGCTTCTGCAACCTTCTCGAACGTTGAATCTTCCAAACCCTGGTATAGAAGATACAACGCCTTTTGGTCTTTCTTTCGTAAGTCCTTGAGAGTGTTCCTTTGATCCGCAGTATATACGGCTTCTTGCTCGGCAGTGGGTACAACATACCCACTACTGACAACTTCCCATAGCTCCTGTGATCCAAACAATGCTTTGAATTGGATGCACCATCTTTCATAATTTTCTTTCTTCAATGTGGGAACTTGGAGTTGCACTAAGTTGGACGCCATAACTGCTGCTCCTGCCAGAATGGTATTCTGGCTCTGATACCAATTGTTGGTATTTGACAGTTTACTAACTCAATACCAAAATATGTGGGTGATAAGTTTACAAACTCTATCACACCTCTTTCATTTTGCACTCTCAAATAAAATTGGACAAAGAAAGAAATAGAGAAAGGAGGGAAGCAACAAGTTTTGGCAAAACACTTGGACTTTGATATATGAAAAAGGTTTACAAACTGTTGGAATAAGAAAGCTTACAAGCTTCTTCACAATTGGAAGTGGGATTCGGATGGGATGATATACAATGCTTGAGAGCTTGGGTATTTATAGCAAACCAAATGATTAAACTAAGATTATTTATTACCACACAAAACACATTAATTGCACCTAATAATTTTTATTCAACCATACCTAACATTGCCTAACTTTCCATGCCTAACTTTGACATTGATTTTCAACAATAGCAACCTGTTTTGATTTGAATTTCCAATAGTATTTGTATCTGTTAATGGTTACTGTGACTTGTATCTCTGGAGCCCATCAACAGTATCTGTACGCAAAATACCGAACCCCAGTTTTATGGAAAGATAAAAAAACTCTACGAATGCAAGTTCCAATTTCGGGTTTGAGTTATGTGTCAGCTATACGGATGACTGGTTTGTATATGGATATGTTCTCATTGAGAGCGAACTCTTGGATAGGTATTCATGTCCCTGACCAAGGGAGTGATGAATATAGCTTTGTAGATCTCGTCAGTCTTTTCGAATTCATATACAACGAGTACAAAACATGCATGTCAAATCACAGTTGCCTCGATTTGGACATCACGAAAAAGTAAAAAAATTCACTTTGAAGATATGACAACAGCAAATAATCTTTTAATCCTTAAATTGCCAATACTCTAATCACTCTTCTTCATTAAATGTCGCTTCCTCTGTTTAGTTTATTGCATGTAAAATAACTAAATTTCTGTCCTACATAAGGGGGTTCAAGTTCTTTAAGGAGAATGCTTATGTGTATCGTTTTGCAGGAGAGAATGAATGGAATTTTGGGTCATGAAAGAGTATGAGGTGCGTGAATCCTTTTTTTGTTAAATAATAGATTTGTTAGGTTAGATATTAGATTAGTCAACGATGAGATTTGAACCCATCATGTCATGTAAGGGCTCAACTCCTTTCCACCATTGTGATAAAATGACCACTTGCAAGTGTGTGAATCTTGGACTATTCTATTTAAAGTTGACTTTGCTGACGTACATGTGCTGACCCATCGGGAATGGAAATTATACGGTGATAAACCCATCTTCATTACTGAAAACCTATCTGTCATACGCGGATTTCAAAAGGAAATTGATGAGGATTGAATGTGTTAAAGAAGAGAAGCCTGTTTGCAGTCGCTCCTATAGCCTGAATGAGGTGCCGTTAAGTATATTATCTCTGACGCGGTTTGAATTCATCACCCTATGTGTTAGTGTATTTTTGTAAGGAGTTTAGTTTCATTTGTTTCTAACTACCTTGCTTTATGTAGATTCGGTTGTCTTTCTATTCCTGCAATTCTGTTATGAAGACTTCGATTATCCCAATCCTATTTCTTAATTCTACATCCACGTCTTGGATCCGATCGAAATAGGATTTGGTTTGTTTATATTTATTTCAATGCCTAGTAATTTTAATTTCACCAGGTGGTTTGCTACCCGCCCGTTTGGGGTGGGGCATACCTTATTAACCTGAGAGCTTAGGGCGTGCTTAATTTGACCTAGAGGTGATAATAAATCAATCATCTATCACATAACCAATCACTTTAATGTCTTGTTTAGTTACAAGTCAACGTTACTAAAAGTATTTCAGTGTATTTTGCTGCAACAGATAACTTGGATTCCAAATGTGTGCTACATATTTAGACCTAGATAGCGCACCTAGCATAAGGTTGCTTGTAAACATTTGGTAGCTTAGAGATTTTGGAGCTTGGATCAAGAATGCTTTAAGACACAAGAAATTCAAAATGGGATCGCATTTTAGCAACTCATCTTTCTTGTCGCCAATAGCTAAGGAGGCGTCGTATGGTGGCTTTTACAGAATCACCTTGTAGAGTTCCAGTAGCAATACCCGAAAATATTGAATCTCATTTTCCACTTGGGTATATAGCTTCGAGAGTTGTAACTCAAGTTCAGTATCTTACAGAATTTCATTTGTGGGCAGTGAGTCAAATCTTCATGGTGTTAAATTTGAAGAGTGTGTTATTTTAATTCTTTAGTGCGTTTTTTATAAGACCGTTTTATTATTGCTGTTAAGGGCGGAGCTAGAAAATATTTTATGGGTGGCTAGCTAAAAAAATTACCCTAAAATTCTTTTTTTTTTTTTTTTTTTTTTTTTTTTTTGTTTTTGGGTTTTTGCTACATACGTATTCTATGCAAAAATTTAAGTTTAACTTTTGTATTTATATACTTAAAATTTGTTTGGCAGGAACTTAATAAGCTTCACAATTGCAAACTAACAAAATTACAATGAATCATCAAATTTCAGATATATTTAGATTTAAACACGAGAAGAAGATAGAAAACTTGATATCTCAATTACAATCACACAACTAGATCAAAGCAAAACACTGAAAGTAGAAGTAAAGACAATATTAAAAAATTGGTTGAAACTAATATAAACCCTACTATATGAAAGCAGAATAATCTTGAACAAAATGACATCACAATTTTCGTGGTCATTTTTATATTTTTAATTGTGCTAAATACTCACTGGGCTAGTTTCATTAAAAATAATTCTTCTTACACATTTTTTTGTCTATTATATCTACACACTAAAGTATATATACATATTGCTACAAATCCTCCCTGGGCTACAGCCCACTGTAGCCCTTAGTGTGGCTACACCATTGATTGCTGTTCCTTCTGTTTTAAATCAAACAACTGAATTGCTAGCTGGCAGTAAAACTAATGTATAACAAATGGCCAAATGGATTGAACGAAATAGACCTAAGCAATACAAAAGGATGCAGTAGTAATTTACAAATTAGGCGTTTGAGCTCTGTTTTGGGTTCATGATACATTGTCGAAATGAACGCGGCGCCCCGGTTTAAACTCACTGGTTTGCTATGATATATGATGAATTTTAGTGCCGTTTAGGCTTCCAAAACTACATTTTAAATTGTGTAATAAAAATTGGATCTTTCGATTTAAGTCCGATTAATTTTGTTCTTATTCCCAAAACCCTTGAGCCTTTCTGAGGTTGTTTTTACGTCTATTTATGCCATTTGGCTCCCAATGTAATGCATCACTTCAGAAATAATCAAGACAACCTCTCGGTTTATCCCAATCTCTAGTGGATTCCACAAACCTTTATTCTTCAAGATTTACATTTGTAATCCTTCTATGCTCGTGCTGCATCAAAAACTGTTTGGCTGATTCGAAATAAAATGGAAGCCATATATAGAATTGTGTTATTTGGGGGTTTCCTCTGCTTGTTTTCAAGGGGTGTTGATGTAAAAATTAGGAAAAGTGATTTCTACACACATCTTTTCTCGCCTTACATATGCCTTTTTATTTCTAATCTTTGGATTGAATAAATGAAAGGAATTACTTTCACGATCTTGGCAATGCAAACTTCGACATATCTATAGAGAAAAGAACTTTGAGGCAGACATTTTAGCGACCTATAGTCTTGATTTAGATTTAGATCATTTTTATTTTGGTACTCCTCTTTATTGTTCAGTTAGTTTCATCTGTGAGAATCAACTTGGGATGTCCCAGTCTAGATTTATTATTGAGTATGTTTGTTTGGGCTCTTACTTTTAGCCCCGTTTTTCAACCAAAAAAAAATTATAGGAGAATCAAGGGACCATAAATAAACAAGGATTGCAGAAGGAGAAATGCGCGTGCGGAATTATTTTCCCAAGATATTAATGCTTCCCAAATGAAGATGATACTTAATAGAGAGTTGATTAAAGGTACTCTGCTCTTGTGTCATGCATAAAGCTTCAACTAACTTCAGGAACGTTAAGTTGTCATAAAAAGTTGTAGAAAATGGCAGATAAGCAAAACCAGATTATGGGAATGTGTACTTAAACTTTAACAGGGGTGTTACGGTTTTACACTGCAATCTGTTTGAAATAACTCGAGTTAGTATCCTTTTGGATCCAACTAATATAGCTAAATTACTTCATACTCATTAGTTTCATAAACAAAAAAATTGGATCCAGGATGGATACCAAACAACCGTTCCTTCAGTTATTCTGAGATAGCTCTGGAGCTTGGCTTAGATTCCTGAGGGCTTTGTCATAGGATATGAACCCCATGAACCAGAATTCATGACCATCCCTTGTGACAATCTGTATATATTTTTCCGAAGGGTTCCATCTGTTTGCTGAAGGATTTACTGTTCTTAGCTGATCAAGCGGCACCACCACCTACGTGAGATTAACTAACTTGTTAGACGAATGAAGAACTTAAGAATTCGATTATGTCCACTAGAATATCTACCTTGTAATGCATGAGAGTTGGATTTCCTGGGCACAAATAGTAAGAGAAATCGCTGCAGAAGGCTATTCGTTTATCGGAGATGTACATCATCCCAATCACAGGTCCATGAGAAGTTGATAGATGGCAAGCATATGAATGTAAGAGCTTTTCTCCTGTCACTCTTTCAAATGTCTGCTGAAACACTTTTTCTTCTCCTCCGGCAGCAAGCACCTTTGTTCCGGTACTTAGCCTTGCCATCATTGCTTCTGTGAAACTCGGGCACGTTCTCACTGTCATGCGAAAATTCCAAAATTTGTTTGATATAGGCTACTCGTATGATATACGAAACGAAGATCGACTAAGATCAATCAATTCAAAATTTCTGTAGGCTCTACCAAGAAAACTTAACAAACTGGCATTTTTCTTCTATTTAACTTTATAGCAAGGGAGAAATTAACATAGGAATTCATTTAGAAAGAAACTCACGGTGGTTCCAGACATTGTCCGCCTTGGCCTCTGCTCTTTTGGTGGCAACTTCAACCCTTTTACCGCAGTGGCACAATGCCTCAACCATATTTGCCATCGGTTCTGCAGCAGAAAGTAATAAAAATTAAAAATAAAAACGATCATCCGAACTTATCTGCCTGAGACTAAATGAAATGACGTAAATACAAAAAAAATTATCCCCCCAGATATCAAACTATAATTGAAAAGGTTCTTACATGTAAGAAGTCAATAGCACCTAAATTTAAAATTTAGTACTTTTATAAGCATGGATAAAACTAGAGCACAAAAGTTTCCCACAAGAAATTTCTTTATCAGTTAAATTAAGGCTAACTAATGATCATTATTATAATCGAAGGATTAATTCTTAAGAGAACTGCGTAAAGAAACAAGGGAACAACGGAAACACTAACGCTTGGTAGAAGAATTCGATGTGGCCGGAACAGGCGAATAATGGACATAAGGATTGTTTGCCTGGGCTGTGCCTTGAGTTTCAGAGGGACGACTATCCATGTCCGTTGTTGCAAGAGTAGAGAGTAGAAAATGGCGGACGCGATCAGGTTTATATTTATCTGTTTTTTTTTTTTATTTTTATTTTTGGTTTATATGATAAGGGTCTGTCTCGGTGTACAACAAGAAAAAAGAGAGAAAAGAAATGCCGATGGAAGGTTAGGAAAAGGTGATGAAGACCTCTAGGTGCCGTCGCACTTAAAAGCAACAAATAATATGCCAACATTTGTCTAGCAAAGGTTGGATATTGTTTCATATATTCTTTTCCGTTTTCGCTTATGATAGACGCACTCCAAATATATAAATTTGTTGAGATTCTTCAGAAGCATATATATTATATTTATCGATAAGTAAATATGGATGTAGATGAATTTGTAAAAATTAAGCAAATAAAATGGCTTAAATTAATCCTACAGATCTAATAATAAAAAAAAAAAGAAAAAAAAAGAAAATCCTTTTGTTAAGCATGCTTCACTTTTTGTCATGTTCTAGAAAGGAGGAGCAGGTTTTAGTTCAAAACAAATTAAACTAGAATAGGTTTGGTGTTTAGCATCCAATGCGATGTGTTTATCTCTCTTTGCGATAGTTTTGTAATGTTTTCAATAAATTGTAATACTTTATAATTTATTTATATTTATATTTTACATTTTAAGTTTCTCCATTACAAGTATTGTTCGTTTATTTATTTATTTTAAGTATCAACATGAACCTATTTATAGGTCATATAATATATTTAATAAAGGTAAAAAAAAAAAAAAAAAAAAAAACCCTAGGCCAATAGTTAGGAACCTAATTAACCGTTGAATGTTAGGTTTGAATATTATAACCCACAACCCCTAGGTTGGATAAACTTTCTAGAGGTCGAATAGGGTGCTGGACTTCTGAGTTAGGGATCCATGTCCCCACGTCCGTAGGCCGCCTATCATAACCCCGGTTACTGGGGCACAAACCTCCCAAGCTGCTAATCGAACATGACGAAATGGGCCACAAGATACTCCTACATCACTATCAACTTGAATTTTTTAGATTCTTCTAACATCATATATATTGATCAGTAAATATAGATGGAGATGAATTTGTCAAAAAAAAAAAAAAAAAAAAACAAATGAAATGGTTAAATTAATCCTTGCGATGGAATTAGAAAAAAACTTTTCATAAGCACGCATCGCTTTGGGTTATGTTGGAGTTTCCAGAAAGGATGAGTTGGTTAATTAAACTAGAATAGGTTTGGTGGTTTGCATCCAGTGCATTATAAGTTAGTACGTAAGAGAAAAAACAAAAACTAAAAGGACCAGAAAACTAAACACGTCAAAAGAAATGGGTTTCTTTACCTTCTACGCTCCTAAATTTAGTCCCATACCCCCTCCTTGAGTTGTTTATAATATGATCTCCGTTCATCCATTGCTTATACCAAACAAATAATTTATAATCACTTTAGCATCAATTCAAGAAACATACACCTTGAGCAATGGACTCCTCAATCGGATAAGCAACTTTCAGTGCATCCTTGCTCTTATGTCTCTCATTGTCTCCAACACCATTTGCAAATGCAAGTGCGTCTTCATTAATTGGAAGTGTCTGCAAGCAAACCCAAGACCAATTCCGCTACAACTACAAGCAATGCGTAAAATTTCTTTGGAAAGATATTCCAACTCATTCAGCATCTAATCTCAAAGACCTTGACACAACCATTCTTAAATTAGCACTAACAAATGCATAACAAAGCAAAGCTTTCTTTGTCAATGCACTCAACACCACCGGCAACAATATTGTTAAGGGCTCCGTAGCAATAAAACAATGTGCAGATGCATATGATTTTGCGGTAGACGGTTTCGCTTTCTCAGTGTGAGGGATCAAAGATAATGACAAATCTGTCTTCCAAATACTCACACAAGTACAAGACGAAATGGTTCGTTGCGAAAAAGCATTGATCTCTATTTTCGACAAACTTCTTGACCATGATATACAGGGATGTTGCATTCCTCGTTACTTCCCAGTTATTTCATATCTAGAAAAGATACGTGAACAATGTATTAAATTCATTATGCATTAATTAAATACTACATAATATACATATAGTTACTATATATTTAATTTGTAAAAGAAGAGAAAAGAATGAAAAATTATTGTAAGAAAACAAAAAGCTGTTTTAATGTTGAATCCTTCTGTGTTGCTATATTGGTTGTCCATACTACACATATATCTAGATATACTACACTTTGAATTCTTAAGAACACAATATGCTATGCATGTTTAATCTTGACAGCATCAGTGGAAACTTTCAGACTATAATTCTTTGTTGATTCTTCAATTTTGAAAAGATGAAGGAAGGAACGCACGACAGTGTGCATATATAACCAGAATAGCATTTCAAATGACCTCAGTCACATTGATACTAATACAATTACACTTCTGACTTTTGAGGTTTGGATTTTCTTTTTGCCCACTTTTCTACTGCTTTCAGATGAGTTATGGGTACACAATCACACGAAGAAAAAGCCAATTGGCAAAAAAGAGATCTGAAGTCTACTTCGTTGTGCACCCTTCCGTTGATAGGATACATGGGTCAAAGGGAAGACTTGAGTTCACAGACGAAGTTGGCTCGGTAATTGAATTGTCGCTATCCGTGCAACAGAGACAAAATTTGTTATTGGAAATTTTAACAACTCAAAAAAAAAAAAAAAAAAAAAAAGTACCGTGCACCACCACACCACTTTTAACTCAAGGTCCGGTGCCAATATGTTGACTCTCCTACAAGCGAAGGGTAGTACTTTCCACCATTGGAAAATTGGCGGGTGCATTCCAGCAAGTCGTGTTCCACTTTTAGAGACTAGTGAAAACCTTAATAGCTATCACATCCATTGTAGCAAAAACAAATTGATAACTTTCAATATGGGCTTCGACTTCGACAGTGGAATATATTAGGCTTCTATAAGCCCTCACGACATTTTGTACAAAATTAAAACTTAAGAGCTAGTTGATAACCAATTCGTTTTAAGTTTTTAATTTTATTTTTAATTATATAGATTGATGAAAAATATGTGATCTGAAGATCAATGAAGATTGGCGAAGGATAGATGGTGAAGGCAATGTGAATTGATGTTCTAAAAAAGGGTCTAAACAGCTGGCCAACATCACGATTAATTACTAGATGATTAGAAAATCAGATACCGCATCTACATGGGTCTAGGCGGAATAGGGGTTTCTTTTGTTTTTTTATTATTGACTTTGAGTCTTGACTCACCCTTTCGCAGACAGAGAAAAGCAAACCAAGAATATGATGTGGTCGTCTCTCTTTGCGATAGTACTCTGATGTTTTCAAAAAATTGTAGTACTTTATAATTTATTTATGTTTTGCATTTTAAGTTTCCTCATTTCAAGTATATTTTTATTTATTTTTTTAAATATATAATATACACTTATTTATATTTCATATAATAAATTTAATTAAGATAAAAAAAAAAATCCTAGGCCACAAGTTAGGACCCTACCCGCCACTTGATAACCACCTAGCGATGCTTAAAACATTAGTGTGAATGGAGTATGTCTGGAAATCAAACAATAAATTTCTTGATTATGCTCCCTCAGCTGATTTTCGGATCGACCTTTTGATTATTCGTTCGAATGGGGTAAAGCCCAGGGTTGAATATGTTATAACTAACAACCCTTAGGTTGGATAAACTTTTTGGAGGCCGGACGAGGTGCTGGACTTTTAGGCCAGGGGTTGTAACCTTGCTTAATAGATCTCGGTTCTCCTAAGCTGCTAACTGAACACGACGAAATGGGCTAAAAAAACTCCTCCAATACTATCAATTTGAATTTTTCAGATTCTTCTAACATTATATATATTGATAAATAAATATGGATGTAACTGAATTTGTAACAAAACAAATGAAATGACTTAAATTAATCCTTGCGATCTAATACAAAAATAAAAAGTCCTTTTGATAAGCATGCGTCACTTTTGGTTATGTTGGAGTTTCTAGAAATGAGGAGTTGGTTAATTAAACTAGAATAGGTTAGGTGGTTTGCATCCAGTGTGTTATCAGTAAATACGTTAGACGAAAAGCAAAAACTACAGACCAGAAAACTAAACACGTCAAAAGAAATGGGTTTTTTTACCTCCTGCGCTCCTAAATTTAGACCCATACCCTCTCCTTGCGTTGTTTATAATATGATCTCCGTTTACCCATTGCTTAAACCAAACATATAATTTATAATCACTTTAGCATCAATTTAAGAAACATACACCTTGAGCAATGGACTTCTCAATGGGGTATGCAACTTTCGTTGCATCCTTGCTCTTATGTCTCTCATCGTCTCCAACACTATTTGCAAATGCAAGAGCGTCTTCATTAATTAGAAGTGTTTGCAAGCAAACCCAAGACCAATTCGGCTACAACTACAAGCGATGTGTAAAATCTCTTTGGAAAGATATCCCGACTCGATCAGCATCTAATCTCAAAGATCTTGACACAACCATTCTTAAATTAGCACTAACAAATGCACAACAAAGCAAAGCTTTCTTTGTCAATGCTCTCAACACCACCGGCAACAATATTGTTAAGGGCTCCGGAGCAGTAAAACAATGTGCAGATTCATATGATTTTGCGGTAGACGGTTTTGCTTTCTCAGTGCGTGGGATCAAAGATAATGACATATCAGTCTCCCAAATACTCACGCAAGTACAAGACGAAATTGTTCGTTGCGAAAAAGCATCGACCTCTACCGAAATTGAACTTCCTTATTTAGTATCTTCGACAAATTTCTTGACCATGTTGTATAGGGATGTTGCCTTCCTCATTACTTCCCAGCTATTCCATATCTAGAAAAGATACGTGAACAATGTATTAAATTCAGTATGCATTACTCAAATACTAAATAATACACATATAAGTACTGTATATTTAACAGGGGTGTTACGGTTTTACACTGCAATCTGTTTGAAATAACTCGAGTTAGTATCCTTTTGGATCCAACTAATATAGCTAAATTACTTCATACTCATTAGTTTCATAAACAAAAAAATTGGATCCAGGATGGATACCAAACAACCGTTCCTTCAGTTATTCTGAGATAGCTCTGGAGCTTGGCTTAGATTCCTGAGG